AGTTAGGCACCACACCACCAGAGCTGCTCACATTATACTGTAGCCTAGGAATTCATATACCTGCCTCTATTTTCCTCCTATCATCTACCCATCCACCCATCGATCAGGGCTGGGATAGCAGGAGGTCAGCTGGTCTCACAGTGGATTTCATCGTGTCTAGAACTATGACCGCATATAGTAAGTGCTCAATAAATCTTTACTGAACAATAGAATGAATGAGGTTCCTACTCAGTGCCAGACCCTTTGTGGGATGCATTATAAGCATAAATATTCCAGCAGTGGCTGCCTGGGAGTGGGAAGGGGGCTTCAATTAACTACTTTCCCCATGCACTGACCCATTTGAACAGATTCAGACACCAGTCCATGATCCTTGTGAGGGAGACTCAGGCCTGGAGGGGGTGGTGACTGCTGCGGGACACCTGAGCCTAGCTGAGCACGGGCCAGCAGAGTTGGGGCATCTGAGAACCCAGTCAAGGCTTGCTGGATGAGAAGAGGCTGAGGGAGGGGGCTCCTGGGGATGGGGTTGTTCAGAGCCCAGTGTGAATGTCCCCAGGGACTGCCCAAACCTGAGTCCATGTCTGGGTATGGGGGGTCCTCAAAACAGCATCCGCTGGCTCCGCAGGCTCCAGCTGCAAAGGCAACAAAGAGATGATGATATTCTCAGTCTTACACAGTATGAGCAGAGGGACTCACTCAACCTGTCAGTCTGCACCCAATTGACCGTCTGCCCAACTGACCATCCACCTGCCTGCCTATTCACCCAACCATGCACCTACCTGCTATCCATCCACTCATCTATCCACCCACACACTCATCTACCCATCTGGCTGCCTGGCTGTCTATCCTATTCACCCACCCATTCGTCCACCCATGCTTCCCCTGGTCCATCCATACATATACCCACCTTCCCCATCCATCCACCCCTCCATCCATCCATCCATCCATTAACCACTCAGCCATCCATAAACATGTCCATCTGCCTGGTGTAACCACTGAGACTATGGCCCCTAGCTGCCCTTCAGGTCTGGAATTGAACCCACAACTGTGGTTTCCAGCCAAACAAAGTACAGGCATGTGAGTTAAACATTTACCTCAAGTAGACACACGCCCTGGAGAGAACAATCATGGGAGAAGGAAGGGCTGCTTATGCACAGGGAGATAGCTCAGGGTGCAGAAGAGTATGAAGGGATGGACACTGGGAGGAGGTAACTATGGGGAGGAAGTGGGAGGGGAGCTGTTGCATTATAAATTTTGGTCAATGACATGAGACAAAGTATATGTGAACTGCTGTATGAAAAGTGAATTTACTCTGTAAATCTTCATCCAAATCCAAATAAAATAAAAATAAAATAAAATAAACATGTCCATCTGTCCATCCACCCAGCCACACATCCATCCATTTGCCCTTCAACCCACCCACCACACATCAGCCTTTGGTCTCTGTTTATAAATTCCCCAAATGGAGATTAAGGTGTATAGTTGGGTCCCTATGGAGAGGTCATTCCAGAAGGAAAAAACAGAAATACGGACAGCCTTGTAGAAAGCTAAGGGAAGTGGAATGTGCCTGGGGCATCAACAGAGTCCGGAGCCAGTGTGGTGGGTGGAGGAATGGCAGCTGGGTGCTGAGAGGCTGGTACTGCGGCCACGGCAGTGAGCCACTCTGGGCAGTCCAGGGGGTGGCGGAGTTGACGTTCCTCAGCCAGGGGTCAGCCCTTCTCCCAGGAGTGCCAGATCTGGCAGGTGCTGACCTTGGTAAGGGGTACCTGCTGATGGGATTAGAACACTTGATGGAGAAAGCAACATCCCAAGAAGCAGCCCCATGTGACCCAACTGTGGGGGGTGGGGGGGACACTGGGATCTCCATTGCCCCATTCCCCACTGTGGCATCACAGCCCCCTACTGCACAGCCTGAAGCCCACCCCCTTCCATTCCCCTGAGCTGACCATTTGCTGCCATCACCAGCAAGCTGCCCCCTGGGCTGCTCCTCCAAAGAAACCTGGGGTCCTCTACTCCTCTGTTATTGCTTTTCCGGCCCCACCTGGCTCCCACAGGCCCCAGCACCGTGGCTCACACAGGCTGGGCCATACAGTTGGCTGGCCCTGTTCTAAGCACTCTGCTTGAGTTCAACTCACTGAGCCAGCTGATGAGACTGCTCCCTGCTTGTCCCCAGACTACAGAGAGGTAAACTGAGGCACAGAGAGGTGAAGAAGTAACCCAGAATCACATAGCAGCAATGGCCAGTGCCTCCCTCTGCACCTGATTCCACGAGGGAGGGAGAGATTGCCATTGGGTCCATTCAGAGTCATAGATACACACACATGCACACACATATCCGTTGTAATAAGGGCAGTGGTGAGTCAGGGGCAGAATTCACATCTTCCTCGTGGGAGACCAGGGTTCAATTCGCACCAATGCACCTTAGCACAGCCGCCACCCATCTGTTGATAGAGGCCTGTGTGCTGCTGGGATACTGATCAGGTTTCAGCAGAGCTTCCAGACTAAGACAGACCAGGAAGAAAGGCCTGGTGATCAGCTTCCAAGAATCAGCCACTGAAAACCACAAGGATCTGATCCACAACTGATCATGGAGTGGTGCAAGAGCAGGTAGCATTTCATTCTGTTGTGACAGGGTCGTCATGAGTTGGGCAGACTCAGCGGCAGCTGACAAGGACGGCAATAGCATATCTGTCATATACATAGTTGTTCTTTAGCCCTTTCTAGGCTGTTTTCCCAGTACCCCCTGGGAAGTGGGAAAAAAAACAATTCACTCCACACATATTGTACTAGTTCACTATTGTGAAAAATCAAGGAAAGGTTTGTAGATGGAAGGCAAATTTTTTGTTGGTTACCAGGGATAGGAGGGGAGAGGATGGAAAATTGCTAGATAGGTAAGAGACAGTATGGATTTGGGTGAAGGGAAAGGCAATATACCAAGTCCAGTGATCAACACAATAACACTAAGGAAAAGGAAGACAAAGAGAGGTGCACAAGAGGTACAGACAATAAAAACAAACCCTTTATATGTACGATACTGGGTTATCAGTGATAACAAACATTAATCTATGGGTAAACAGACAGGTAGACAGGCTGAATGATCAGATACGTCTAGGCAAAAGGGAATACACCTACGACCACATATAAGTTTGGCAGAAAATATTCCTACATACATATTTGCATGTGCTGTCAGAATGTCCATATAAATAGAACTTGCAGTGGGCAAAGTTATGATAACTTCTTAGGCACAGTCAAGCACCCTGATGGAGTGAGTTGTTGGACCTGTGGGCTCAGGATCGTGGTGGTGGGGCGCATCAAGCTCAAAAATTGTTGTACGTCCTACTTCGGTGAGTAATGACTAGGGTCTTAAAAGCTTGCAAGCAGCCATCTAGATGCAAAAATTGGTCTCTCCTTGTCCAGAGCAAACAAGAATGAAGAAACCAAAGACACATAGAAAGATTAGTCCAAAGGACTAGTGGATCATGCAAATCTCAGCCTATATGACCATGAGACCTGAAGAACTAGATGGTGCCCTGCTACCACGGTCAGCCACTCAGACAGGGATCAGCTCAAGAGATCCTGGACAGAGCAGGATAACAATATGGAACAAAACTCAAAATTGTAAAAAAGACCAGGTGTACTGGTCTGATAGAGCCTGGTGAAACCCCCAAGACTATGGCCCCTAGTTACCTTTCAGGTCTAGAATTAAACTCATTCCTGTGGTTTCCAGCCAAACAATAGACAGGCATGTAGGGTGGACATACAGCAGGTAGATACACTCCTTAGAACAATTAATCATGAGAGAACAGAAGGGCAGTATTCGCACAAGGAGATAGCTCAAGGGGCAGGAATGCATAGGAAAGAAGGAGTAGGGAAGTGGTCACTACAGAGAGGAAGTGGCAAGAGAGGTGTTACATTGCAGGGAATTGCAATCAATGTCAAGAAACAAAATGTGTATGAACTGCTATATGGAAAATGAATTTGCTCTGTAAACTTCCACCCAAATCACAATAAAAATTAAAAAAAAAAAAAAAATCAGTCCATTCCATAGAAGAGAACACCAAGACCTAGAGGAAAGTTGTCCAAGTTTGACCTCAGAGCCCAGTGAAGTAGCCATCACTGCTCTCCTCACTTGACAGAGAGAAAGACTGAGACACAGAGAGACTGAACCAAGCCTCAAGCTCCAGTCCATGGCTCTCCACACATTCACACAGCCTGATTCCATGAGATTAGGGAGAGAAGCCCAGCTCCAGCATAGGGGTACTCACCTCCCTGCCTGGGGAAGAGGAGGAGGAGGACAGGGAGAACCAGCCAGGCCACCAGCCTCCCCATCAGGTCCACGAGGATCCTATAGCCCAGGCGAGCTCCTGCACTGCTGGTGAGGCCCCACCCACTCTGTCCCCATCCCGGAACACATTAAGCTGAGCAAGAAAGAAGAAAAATGAATGTAAGATGTGATAACCCCTCCTAGTGCAAGTCAAAGTGAAAGAGAAACCCAGGAAGTCAGCTTGGAGGTGGGGGCCTCCTTCCCCCACAAACTTACCCCACCTGGACAAGCCCCACTATCTTCTGGTGGCTGTGTGGGGCAGTCTCCAGTTCTCTCTGGACCTGAAAGGGAGCCCAGTGTCTTGGAAGTCTAAGTTCCTCCATCCCACACATGGCCAGGAAGTCCCTACTGTGTATCAGGAGCAAGATGATATCTGATACCCTGTTTCCCAAACTGTAGCCTTGGGACACACTGGACCCTGACTCCTGACCCTGGATTCTCACCTCTCAGAGAATCCCTTTCCCCATCAGCAATGGCCTCAAATAGGCACCAAGAAGTCATGATCCACACTACAATGTGGATAAACCTGGGAAATATCATGCTGAGTGAAGGAATCAGACCTAACCACATACTGTCTGAACCCATTAGTATGAAATGTCCAGACAGGCAAATGCGTAGAGACAGAAAGTGGATTAGTGGTTGCCTAGGGCTTGAGGGAATCCCTGGTTAGTGCAAACAGTTAAGTGCTCAATTACTAGTTGAAAGGCTGATGGCTTGTACCCATCCAGAAACACCTCAGAAGAAAGGCCTGGTGATCTGCACCTGAAAGGTGTTAGCCTTAAAAGCCCTATGGAGCAGTTCTACTCTGAACACATGGGTCACTAGGAGTCGGTATGGCCTCATAACTAACAACAGCAACATGGCTTGGGGTAGGGGAATGGGGAGTGACAGCTAATGGGCATGGAGTTTCCATCTGAGGTGACGAAAACGATCTAGAACTAGATAGAGGTAGTGGTTGCTGAACTTGCTGAATGGACTAAATGTCACTGAACTGTGTACTTTAAAATGGCAAATTTTCTGTTATGTGAATTTCACCTCAATTCACAAAATGACTGAGAGGCATGAGGGTCTCTCTTGGGTAGGGGGGAGGGGGCATGTGGGGAAACAGGCCCAGGTCGGCAGGGGCCTACCACGTGGCCCAGCCTATGAGGAGGAAGAGGAGGAGGAGGAGAAGGAGGCTGTCTTCTGAGTGGCAGCTGGGCTGGACAGGGTCAGGCGCCCAGCAGACCATGAGGTCAGTGCTATGGGGACAAAGAGGCAGTGTCCTCAGCCTGGCACAATGGGAACAGGGCAGCCTTCATGGGCCAAGGGGCCCAGGCCAGGGAAAGGAGGTGAGTAGGGGGCTGATGTGTGAGGCTGGGAGAAGGGGCAGAGAGAGAGAGAGAGAGGAGAGACAAACAGAGATGGAAAGAGACAGAGACAGACAGAGATGCAGACACAGAGACAGAGTTACGAAAGACAGAGATTGAGAGAAACATAAAAAAAGACAGAAGAGACAGTCAGAGGTGGGAATACTTAGGACCCCCCTCTTGGACATCTTGAGATTCCCTACCCCAGGAGACGTCATTGCCTGCCCTATTTCACAGATATGGAAACTAAGCCCCAAGGCACCAAGAGGCCTGGCTGGAGGTGAAGAGACAGACTTGAACCCTGAGCCAGAACACTCCCAGAGGACTGAGCTTCACCCTGCGTAGTAAGGTCCATGCCCCAGGGCTGCCCCTCACATGGCGCCACCCCCCCCCCAGCTTGCTCCCCTAACAAACAAATTGGTTGCTATGAGGATGAGAGAGGGAGGCAAGAGGGTTTGGCTTGAGGTGGGTGCTGCCAGCTGAAAGATGGTATGATTACTGTCATTGTTGTTGTTGCCCTCTCCTCCCCACAGGCATCTCTGCTCTTGCCACACCCCTTTCCCATCCCCTAGAAGTTGGAGAAGCCACTGGAAAAATACAAGCGATGAAGGGGTAGGGCAGTGCCAGACACAGATGTCCCCAGCACCTTGAATCAGGGCTAGGGCTGGGGAGGGCTGGGGTGGTACTCTGAGGGGAACAGGCAAGGCTGCCTGGAGGAGGGGGTACTTGAACTGGGCTTTAGAATTATAAGGAATTCCAGGTAGAGGACCACTGGGGCAAAGATCAGACAGGATGAATGTGGCTAGTCTGGGTCTCTGTGAGGGACAGGAAGGTGCCATGGTGGGTAAGGGCCTTGAGTGCTGGGCTGAGGGGCTCGGATTTCTCCCAAGGGTGCTGGGGAGATGTGGCAAGTGTGAAAGTAGGGGAAATCACAGCCATGCGTGAGGTATGAGGTGGCATTTCCACCCTTATTGGGGTCACAGCCCAAGGCTCACCCTGAGGTTCACCACATCCAGCTCCCTCTGCCTGCCCTGGCCATCTCCTCCAGGAAGCAGTGTGGGGCCCTTTAGCAGCCCCTCCCAGCTGCCCTAGAAGCACAGTTGGAATATCCCCCCCCAGGCTGCCCCACTTTCCACAGCCCCACAGACTGGGGGAGGGGAGGAAGACAGTTTGCAGCAAGTCACAGGGGCCCGGAAATCGTGACAGAAGGAACCACAGAACTTCCCCTCCCTCTCAGCTTCTGCCTCCTTCCCAGGGAGAGTGACCTTCGGCCTGGGGAGGGCCAAGCTTTCCTCCTTGAGGCCAAGAGACCCTGAAGCCTGAGGGACATCTAAGGAGGGTGTTGAAGGATGAATAGGAGTTTACAAAGAGAAAATCTATTACTTCACATAACAATCACATTTATAAACATTGTTCACCAATGAGAACATTTTTCATTCATTCATTCAGTTGACCAGGAATTTCTGATGCTCCCAGAGGATCATGTGAAGTGGGTTTTAAAGTATATATAGGAATTTACCGGGGGGGGGGGGGATCATTTGTTCATTCAACAGTCAAATTCCCTGATGCCCCTCACAGAGGCATTTGAGGAGGGTTTTGACAGATATGAAAAAGTTCATAAGAAAAAAATTACTTGTTTATTCAATTAACACTCTCTCTTGCCCATTGAGAGGTCATTTGGAAGGAATTTGGGAGACTGTGCAGGCGTTTTCCAGGTGGAGCAGGGACATTTGAGATCTTTCTAGTCACTCTCCCTCCAACAGCTCCTCATCTGCCCAATTCAGCCTCTGCAGTATAAGGAACCTCTCTTTCCTGTAAATTCCAGCCAAATTCTCAGGAAAGGCTCTGATTGGCTAAGATTGGATTACATATCTACCTTGAACCAATCATAGTGCTGAGGTAGGTTGAAGACTCTTATTAGTCAGGCCTGGGTCTCATATTCACCCCATACTGGGCTAAAAAAGAACTTGTAGGCAGAATCAGCCAGAAAAGGCAGAATCAACCATGACAGGAGGTGAGCTCCCCATCACTTGGGTTATGTGAGCTACAACCTGAAGTCTACTTGGTATAGAGTTACCAGCTAAAACACAGGACACCCAGTTAACTTTGAATTTCAGATAAGTGACACTTTTTTTTTTTTTTTAAGTATAAATATGTACCAAGTATTGGACAGGACAAATTTACACTAAGAAAATGATTCATTATTTATTGCACTGGAAAATAAACTGACAGTTTTTCAAAATGTTAAACATAGAATTACCACATGGCCCAGCAATTCCACTCCTAGGGATGTACCCAAGTGTGGTGCAGTGAATTACTTGGTATGGCTTTTCTAGCCATAGTCTTTGTAACTCCCACCAGATTACTGGGTAGGACCATGCAGATAAGGTGTGTAGAACTCTGATGTTGGGATTGGCTAGTTTTGTCACTCTGCTAGGCTTAAAATGAGCCTTCCTAGAGGCAGAGACTCGACGGCAAATGACAACAACAACAACAAAGAGGCAGAGAGGGGGAATCTCACTGCCTTCAAGACAGAAGAGTTGGAGGTAAAGTGGAGCACATCCTTGGACCTGAGATCCCTGCACTGGACCTCCTTGGCAGAGATGACCCGGCAGAGATGACCTGGCAGAGTCCAGGTGAGAAACCAAGAGATACAACACAGAGCGGTGGGCTTACCTGGCCCCCAGAATGAGAGCTGAGTGGCCTTGGGCAGGAGCCTTACTGGCAGAGTGGGGTGCACAGTGTACCTATCGGCAGAGCTAAAAGAGCTTTGTAACACTTGCCCGAGCAGGGCAGGGACCAAGCCAAGAGGCCAAGGGCCAGAGAGGTGTGTCTGAGGGCACAGCAGAGGGGAGACTGTCCTGATCAAAGAATTGTATCCTGAGTGTGTTCCTGGGCCTGAATTGTAGCCTGTTAACTTCCCTAATAAACCCCAGAATCCTGAGCATTGTCTGTGAGTATTGTGTGGCCATTACAATGAATTATTGAACCCTACAGAGAAATAGAGATCCCCACGGGAGGCATGGTTGGTGTCAGAGTTGGTAAAAAGGCTAGAAGGTGATGACATGTCTGGCCTCATAGGAATAAGCCTTGGGCTGTTGATGGTGACTCGGTTTCCCCCTCATGATATTGGAGGAGGTCAGAAGATGCTGACCTCATGCCCTTTTCGCACCAACAGAACCAAAAACATATGTCCATGCAAAAACTTGTACAGTGATGTTCACGATTCATAAAAGCAAAAAGGGGAAACAGCTCAAATGTCCATCAGCTTATGAATGGAGAAACACTATGTGGTCCATCCATACAATGGTATGCTCCAAACCCATTGCCATGGAGTCAATTCCAACTCCTAGCGACCCTATAAGACAGAGTAGAACTGCCCCATAGGGTTGCCAATGCTGTAAATCTTTGCAAAAGCAGACCATCTCATCTTTCTCCCTTCAGACAGCTGGTGGGTTCAAACTGCCAACCTTTTGGTTAGCAGCCAAATGCTGCTTTAACCACTACACTACCAGAGCTCGTAATGGAATATTGTTGTTGTTGTTACGTGCCGTCAATTGGGACCTCACTCATAGTGACCCCTCCTTGGGTTTCCAAAGCAGTATCACTATGGAAGTAGATTGCCCAACCTTCCTTCCGAGGAGTGGCTGGTGGGTTTGAACTGCCAGCCTTCTGGTTAGCAGTCAAGTGCCTTAGGCACTATGCTACCAGAGCTCCCAGTGGAATATTACTCAGCCACAAAAAGGAATGGAAAAAAAAAAAGATCACAGAGATGGTACAGGACCAGACGATGTTCTGTTCTCTTATTCATAACGTGGCCATGAGTAGAAGCACTGATACCTGTTATAACACAGGTAAACTTTGAAAACCTTATGCTCAGTGATCTGGCAGAGACCCAGCTGAGAAACGAAGAGGCACATAGGAATAACCCTTGGGCCTCAGAAAACAGACTGGTGGTTGTCAGGGGCTGGGAGACAGGGGAGTGAGGAGTAACTGCTCATAGGACAGCCTTTCTTTTGGGGATGATGAGGATGCTCTGGAAATAGGTAACGGTGATGGCTGCACTACTCTGAATGTACCAAAATCCATGAAATTGTACATTTTTTAAATTGTGATTTGGGTGAAAATTTACAGAGTAAATTCACTTTCCAT